ATTATTTAATTAATAAAAATTGTTAAGTGCTTTACTAAAATCACAAAAAAAATCAGGCTTAACTATCATCGACAATCGAGTAACTAAAATTAAAAGTACAAATCTTTTTAAGTTATTCAAGACTAGAATAGGTAAAATAAGTAATAATATAATTAAAACTATTCATGTAGCACGCATACGAGCAGCTCGTGGGTGATGTAATTTGATAGCGTAATGTGAGCTGCACATTCCCCGAGTGATTTACAACTTATAATGGCATGGATAGCAGTTACACAAGGGCAATAAAACAATAAAATTTAATTATAAATAAATGTATAATGTTACAAACTTAGAGCTACTTAGGATAAATGAATGTAGTTTCATGTTACAATTTGAAGTCATACTAGAAAGATAAGAAGGGTAATTTAGATTTATTTCGTTTTTTTTTGGGTGGTTACGAAGTCAGTCGAAATGACTGATCCCGTTTGGAGATTAGGGTAGAGAACATAACATATAAACTATAAGGATTAAGTGAAAAAAAACGTTTGAAATGCATTTAGGAGGTTTTACGGATTATACAAAGGAAATTTGAGATTTTTAGGATGGCGAAAAGTATTTTTAATTTTAGCATGAAAATTACTTTTCACACAGACTATTCCGAACAAATACTCAATATATTCATAGACATAATTTTATTTTATTATTTTATAAAAAGTACTTCACTAAGAAATATGACTTTTTTGTATGTGAAAGACTTGTAATATTAACTGAAAGACTGTTAAATTTCATGAAGATATACCCAATATAGAGAGAGTTATAAGTATTAAACTTATGTCAACTTTAAACGAGTATAGAAGTTCACGTAACTCGGTCCCAGGGACCGAGCTCGTATCAAAAGAGTTAAGGCTCTTTCAGAAGCATGTGTAATTAAAGTTACAACTAAAAGTGCAATTCAAACACATAAACACACACAAAATACAGAATTTATTTTTAGATACAGATATGAAACTGCAACACTAAAATTTGAGACATAGGACCATGAACATTATCCTCATTTCGTCACACGTTGAACTCATCAGTATAGTCTGCAGTAGCATGGAATAATTGTATGATGCCTTGACATTAATCATATAAACAGTCAAAAAGTAGCTTAAACTGTTGCAACGTGTCATAAAGAAAATAAAATTTCCACATGTTGTTTTCTGTTGTATTTAACATTACTCTAGACATTATTTATACATTAGTAGTATCCTTGTA